AGACAGAGACTGTATATAGAGACAGAGACTCTATATGAAGACAGAGACAGAGACTGTATATAGAGACAGAGACTCTATATGAAGACAGAGACAGAGACTGTATATAAAGACAGAGACTGTATATAAAGACAGAGACTGTATATAAAGAGGTTTTTCTGATGACCTCTTCCTCCAGCTGCTCCCTGTTCACCTTCTCTGGCCTCACCCTTCCTTAATGAAAAGTTAACAGTGCAGATAATTCCACCTTAAATAAGACCATAGGCTTCCACCTTAACTACCGTGGTTCGCTGCTCTGCCCTATGGGGATTCCTGCAGGTCACCAGGAGGACATTGTCCTCACAGTGTCCTCACAGTGTCCATGAGGACACAGTGATTTGTCCTCCTGTTACCGTTGCCACACGAGAGCAGAAGTGAAACTGCCTCATTTATTAATGAGCGGTGGAGCCGAGTTTCAGAGACAAAGGACGAGTGCTCTCGTCTCTCAGCCGCTCAGAGACGAGTCACAGAGACACTGAGTTTAACGTGAAGCTGCTTCAGTCGCTGAATCTGTTTGAACCATTTAAACGTGATCTCACGTCAAAGCGCTGCTGAGCTGAGACGAGTCTCTGACGAGCACCTGATGTTACAACAGCTGGAGGAGGTTGGTTTCTGACTCGGCCTGTCGTCACGGCGACCTGAACCCAGCCGAGTCAGAGACTGAGGGAACAAGCAGCTGAGGCGTTTGCAGTGGATTCATCATCTGCTGAGTCAAGACCGAAGGTCTGAGTCCACTGGTGGTTTTTCCATCTGCAGCCTGAGCTCGGTCCCTTTACATCCTGAGGTAATGGATCCTGTTTCCCTGCAGCTCGGAGTCATTACTTTTGAATGAGGCCTGGGACGCTGCAGGAGCAGGGAGCAGGCTATTTCCTGGATCTGCATGACTCAACTCATCAGGTCACGACTTCTTAGTTTCAAACTTTTCACTCAGAGCAAAGAAAAACTCTGAGAAGTACAACGTGCACTTCGACCTGTGGCCGTAGAATCGCTGCAGGCTCCTGACGTGTTGCTTTCATTATAACATCAGGTCACCGTGACCTTCGACCTCTGAGTCTCTCGGTGTCAGACACGAAGGGAAAGTCACATGTTTGAGCACAGATCATTTATTTATTAAACATAAATGTAGAAACATAAAGCCTCGTTAACTTTATATACATGATGTCATATGATACAGATCATTTACAACATTGCAGAACATCGAAGAGAAAGAAAAGGCCACATGAAACACAACCAGCTTCAGAACGTTGTGCATAAACAGTTTGTACGATCCCAAGCCAAACATGTATATTAATATATATATATATTACTTTTTATTTAACTTTACACCTGCCGTACAGCGACACACACAGATACTACAAGTTACCAAAAATAAAATCTATTATTTAAGATTTTCAACACGAGTTGAGGTTTTACAGACGTAGAGTTATTTCGTTGAATCAGCTGTTTTCAGGACAGAAGCAGGAAAAACACCGGGAGACGAAACACGGACTGAAACACACGGAGACAAACTGCAGCTGTTTCACAATAAGAGTCTTAATGAAGTCGTCCGTCTTTATTCAAGTGAAATGATTAGAGTTTATTTAGCTTGGTTTAGTAAAGGTCAGTTCACCTGTGTGATCAAGTGTTTCAGTAAATATGAAAAATCTTTATTTCAACTAAATGTTCTCGACCAGCTGAGTTTAGTTTCACCTCATATCAACTGTCGAGCTTCAAGTCCACCTGATGTCACTTTTACTATTTTCTCTTCCCAGAGTTTTCATTTTGATCTCAGGTCTTAAATAATCAATAAAAACACCGATAACATAAAGTTTGAATCTGAACATGTGAGGAATCGTTTCAGTTTCATGAGCTGCAAAATAAAAATGACAGGGAAACAGGTGGGGGCTTAACTCTGACCTACGGAAGCCCAGAAGGACGTGATCCCAATATCACAAGTTATTAATCCTGAGGAAACAGTTTCATTTTTTAAGTGTTTGATTCTGATTCTGAAAAGTCTGAACAGATTCTGTTCCTTTATTTTATGTCCACAACTAAATAACTGGAAACTGTGTCATGGCCTCTCTGAGCTTCCGTAGAAACAGACGCAGATTTTTCTTTTTCTCTTTCAAAACAGCGACCAGGAAGACTTACGTTACATTCAACACATTAAAGTACAACACAGTATTTCTATGTGCGTCCTACAGTTCTAGTACACAGTAAATACACACGTTCCTCCTCTCTGCTCCCTCCGATGCATTAGACGGTTTTTAACTCAGTCACATTATGTTTAAGGCACAGTGAACGTTTCTTATGCACAAACAAACCAACACGTCACATTTGCTGATGATGCTGTATTTTCATGCATTATTGCTTCTTCATGAATCTCTCTCATGACATCTGCTGGTTTTTCTTTCTGCAGCTTCACATCGACTCTTCACACAAGATGATTCACATATTCACATGTCACAGAATGTTTTCATGAGGAGATGCACGGCTGAACGTTCGGTTCACACGTGAACGTTTCTTCTTCGAACGGAAACATTCAAACATTGATTCTCTGTCGTCTCCGAGGCTCTGTTCTCTGAAGTGATCATTCATTCATCACTAATATTTTCTCCTGTAATAATTAACTATTTGACACTGCCTTTATTTTTAGTTATATTTAAATATTAAATTCAATCCCTTGAATCTTATTGTTCCCGTGAAAACAGTTTCCTCACTGAGGACTCACTCACCTGAAGGTTTATCAAACCATGAACAGATTTTATTTGTGTTTGGTCACAAAACAATGAGAATGTAACTGTAACTGTAGTTAACGTTGCAAGAACTGTTGTCGTCACCTCATCCTGATGGAAACACACACACACACACACACACACACACACACACACACACACAACCTCGTGGAAATGTTGATGAAAACACACAACAACAGAACATGACTCATCATGTGCAGTCGGCTGAAACACATGAGGATCCAAACTGATCAGGGTTGAAGTTTTATTTTATCAAAAATAGATCACAGTTGAGGATTGTCAAAATAAACATGGCAATAATCAAAAGGTGGAAATAAAAAAGAGGAAGAGGCTTCAGCTCTGAAGCTCAGGAAACACTCACACTATTGCTCTTTCTTGTTTTTGCATGAAAATGAGAGTTTGGTGAAAAGGTCTGAAGTGAGACGACGATGCATGAGAACAGGATCTGATGAAGACTGAGCGCAGGTGGAAGTCTTTCCTTATTGTTGACAGAATTATTAATGCACACACAGTATGCAGAACAACGACCAGCTCATCATTAATCATCACCGAGTCTCAAGACGACCAAACAGCAGAGTTCACGTTAACTAACGTTTAATAATGATTCAGATCAACGTTCCACATTTTGGGAAAAGTTTTCGTTTGTCTTCTTGTTTCAGGACGTTTCCTGTCTGAGTCCGAAGCTTCCTGTTTGTTCATGTTTCATCTGATCAGTTTTAGTTTCACAGAGTAACTTAAGGACTAAAGAATTTGAATGGGGAAAATGAATGAAGCTTCATGTGGTTGTCATGGTAACGTCATGATGGTTCATTCACTTTATCGTCAGAGAAGAAGACTGCAGCTGCTTCCTCTTCTTTTTCTTCTTCTACTGTTTAATAGCGTCTCTACTTCCTGTGATTGGTCCAAAAGTTAAAACTTTCCAGAAAAGTCTTTCAGGTTAATATTTAGCTTCACCGCTAATCACACTTACGGCGACGTGTCAATCAGAAAAGTTGTTCTCAGGGATAATTAGATTTGAATGGAGCTGCGTTAGACAGTGTCCCATTACACTCTGTTTTTATGCTAAGCTAAAGGCTAAACACAACCTGGATATTTGAAGTTAACAAAGTTATTTCCCAAAATGTGAAACTTTCCCTTTAATTGTCTGAACCTTGTGACAGAAGAATAACCATCACCTCGAACCGTGTTCCTCTGAGTGACGCTCGAATGTTCTGCAGCTGAATTTAGATTTCATTAAAGAATGGACGGACTGACTCCGCCTCCTTGATTCAAAGGCAGGAAACCATCTGAAATACATTATTGCCCTTTAATTCAATATCACTCATTCAATCACACTGACTCTGAAAAATAAGTTAATAAAATGTGCAAATAATATATAAAACCCACGTTTATACAACCCAGTTAATTTGATGGTAATGCGTTTTCCTCTTCTAAGTTACTAGATGGCAGTTTATCGATTATTCAACTTGATTTAGTTGCACCAGAAAATCACAGACATTTGAAACCCAGGTCTGCCTGTGTTCAGATAACGGAGGGAGAACCACGTCATTAAAGCTTCTGTCGATAATGAGCCAACACTGAGGTAGATGATTAACAGATATTACAGCATTCTGATCCAAAAGAAACCAAACACAATCAGAAACATTCAGAATTATCAAAACAAAAAGTGTCGGATGTCTGCGATAAATTTAATTTCAGCTCCTTCTTTGCTGGTTTCCAGCACATTCGTTTGAATCATCGGAACAAAACAAGAGTTCTCATCTGAGCTGAAGGTGAAAATCAATAAAAAGACAAATTCAAAAAGCTTCTGCAAAAATGTTTCAAAATTTACTAAATAAATCTCGATTTAACCGATTTCTCTCAATATAAAACATCGACAGTGTGACACTTTAAAAATAGAGATTTAGAAACTCACCCCAGTGGTGGAACAGAATTATTTGAGTGAACTTGATATCGATGACTTGTTGTTGTTGTTGTTGTTGTTGTTGTTGTTGTTGTTGTTGTTGTTGTTGTTGTTGTTGTTGTGTTGAGCCGTCGAAGAGTCAAACTTGTTTTCTTCTGTTTCCATGCTTTTACTTTCCAGGCATGCAATAATATGTTTTGGTTTGAAAGTGATGTTCACGAGCAGTAAAACATCTGTGACACGGGAACGACTCCGTGTTGTAAATATACATACGATGATTCAAGTAACGTTTGTTGTACCTCAGAGTCCTAATGTAGCTTCGCTCTGTGCAAAAATCAGTCAGGACGTCCTCTTGTCTGAAGGCGTCTCACAGCTCCGTGTCTCCGGCGAGTTATTTTGATTCACGTCGTCAGTGGAAGATAGATGAAGAAGAGGAAGAAGAGGAGGAAGAGGAGGGACAGAAGCAGACATGTTGAACTCCAGGCATCGAGATGTGACGAGAAGAAGAGGAGGAGCCTGGAAACAAAAGAGAAAGAAGAGTTACTCAGAATGTATTTCACTGTTCTGAGTAAATGATCCAACAGTTATTGATATCGACTGATATGAATTTATCACCCAGCAGAACACGTGTCCACACGTCATGTCTGAAACATGTACTGTGTCATGTTTATTAAAGCATCGCTGTGTAACTGTCGCTGATCAACAGCGCCCCCTGCAGCCACACGCACTGACTCCTTCATTAGAATTCTTCATGTGGTAAAAGTTTGCTGCTGAATATTAGATGAATATTCAAATATGATCAAATGTGTAAATAAAGTTTGACCTGATTTTAAATAATGAATCTTCAGCTTCTGATCTTCAAACATCTGTCACGTGTCCGAATCACTGAATTCATGATGTCAACAGTTGAAATCACTTCAGGATGATGTCATGTGGATGTTGTGACTGTGTTACCATGGCGACCCGTGCTCAGCAGCTGCCGGTGGTTTCATGTTGTGCTGCTCAAGGTTTTCTGTGATTCATCAAGTGTAAGTGACATCAGAGTCTTTAAATAAGTGTGACCTCTGACCTGGTGGACGGACACACGGACACATGGACACTCAGACACAGACACATGGACACAGACACACAGACAAAGACACATGGACACATGGACACACAGACACAGACACAGACACAGACACAGACACACAGACACTCAGACACATGGACACTCAGACACATGGACACTCAGACACATGGACACTCAGACAGGTTGCACAGTGGAAACACTTGATCTTCGTCCACTGGAGGCTGGTGGACAGATTCTCTCAGCGCTGACAAAGACGCTAACAATAGCTGTCAGAGTGAAACTCTGCCCCGTCAGTGTCATCCAAGGGGAAACATGTTTACCTCGGCCTGCGTCGCCCACATATGTTCAGAGAGGACACGCAGGGCGGGGGAGGGGGGGGGGGGGGGTCTCCACAGGAAGACATTTTGACCGAACTGGGGCCGTCACGTCTCCTGCTCTCAGTCTGTCACAGTAACCTGAAGGACGAGGATCCTGTGGTTCATACAACACGCTCTGAACACGCTAAGATTCCCCTCATGTCACCCCACACACGAGAAAGACATACAGACAAACTGTAGTTCCCATGATGCACCAGCTCTGTGAACGATTGTGGTTCAGGATGTGAAGCGTCTCCAGGGGGCGTCGTCATGACCTGAATTATCAAGGCTGGAGATGTACTTCCTGTTTATCATGTGAATGTTTGTTTATGTCACTTACACCGATCGTGTTGAGGTTTGTTGTAACTGCTTCCTGTTTTATTTTGAAATCTCTTACCTGTTGTGTGTAATATAATTTTAATGCTCTTGTTTTTTCTCTCCTTCCTGTCTCACTCGTTCTTCAACCTGTTCACACACACAGAGGAGGTCACAGGAGGTCGGAGGAGGTCACAGGAGGTCACAGGAGGTCCGAGGAGGTCCGAGGAGGTC